ATTGAGACATATTGGTGCCGAATTATTAAAATTCGAAATAATGTTTTTGGAAGTGGTTCACAGAATAAGTCTTAATTCTAATAAAGAAAGTGGAAAGTATGCCTGCAACCTCCCTTAATTTAACCCCACTTTTACTAAAAAGGATTTCTTCTAAAGAGACATGATCTTAAACGTTGTTTCCATGAGGAAAATGTTGGCAATAATTAATTATATGAACTCTCGATAGACACAAGGATAAGGGTATATGAAGACATGTTCTCAAATCACTGTTGAATTAATATGAATAAAATACGTTAATTTCGTCTCCCTCTATATATTCATATATATTTTTGTACCCTCAGCTATATGGCTAGAGAGCGGATACATCATTTGATACAGTAAAAATGTGCTTTTTTTTGCAGGACATTTGGAGTCGATCTAGCGATATCCGTCCGTCTGTCTGGCTGGTGCGCACGATAACTCTCAAAGGCAGTGTCCGATTTGGTCCTTGGTACATCGTGATATTATTATCAAACTAGGATCGAGTTTGGAGATGGGCAATATCAGCCTACTCCTCTCTTACCATAAGATCTGTTATAAGGACCATTTCTTTTGGTTCCTCCCCACAAAACCAAAACGATTATATAATCCGAAATAAAAATCCGGTTCTTCTCGAATTTCACACATCCCATTATTTTCACTAACGCAAGATCTTCTGCGATGGTGGTATATATCGGTCTACTTCTTCTGGTACCTCCCCAAGAAAGGGTTAACATTTTGGATATTCATGAAGCTCATAAAACGTGAAATTAATGTCCGAATTCATTTAGAATTGGTACATCTTAATGTTTATCTCAACATAAGGTTTGTATAAAGATGACAGAGATCGGATAGATCCTCCTGCTATAACCCCCCCCCCCCCCCAAAGCATCAAAGTTTTGAATAACCAAAGCGATTATAAAATCCGAATTAAGCATTCAGTTCTCTTCATATTTCACACATCCTTTTATTTTACTAACACAAGATCTGCTGCAAAGATGGGATATATTGGTCCACTCCTTCTGGTACCAAAATTTTGAATATCCATGGAGCTCATTAAATGCGAAATTATCATCCGATTTCATTCAGACTTGGTTCATCTCAATATATTCATAAATATAAGATCTGTTATAAAGATTGTAGAGATCGGACCATTCCTTCTGGTAGCTCCCCCGTAAAGGGTCAACGTTTTGAATAACAAAATGGATTATAAAATCTGAAATAAGCATTTGGTTTTCTTCATATTTCACCCATCCCATTATTTCTACCAACAATAGATCTGCTGCGAAGATGGGATATATCGGTCCATTCCTCCTGGTACCTCTCCCGCAATGGGTCAAAATTTTGAATATCCATGAAACTCAGAAATCGCGATTTTAACATTCGGTTCAATTCAAAATTGGTACATCTCAATATTTCCATCAATACAAGATCTGTTTTAAATGTGGTAGAGATCGGACCATTTTTTTCTGGTACCTCACCCGTATAGGGTTCAAGATTTGAAAAACAAAACGCTCAAAGAAAGCGAAATAAGCATCCAACTTGCTTCCAATTTCACACACATGATCTGTTGCGAAGATGATATATATCTGCGAACCTTTTCTGATTGCTCACCCACAAGGGGTCACAATTTTCAATACTTTTATCTGTCATAACTTGCGAAACAAGTCAGATATTCTTTACAGCTAAATATTTGTCTCAACCAGAAACCTGTAATGAATGCGAAATTTATCGAATTTTTTTTTCGCATAGAATTTGATATAAATGTTAGATTTTTTTCAATTAAGGTAGGAAAATAGGATACTTCGGTCGACCATATCTGGTACATCCTGCACATTTTAACATTTTATAAAAATTATCACATATTTCTTATGAAATATAGTCCAAACCTGGCACATCGCAATATTTGTATCATTTTTATTTAGGTCCGATACGAAATGGGCAATATTGGCACATTCCTTCCGAATCTACTCCATAGAGGATCAACAATTTGAAAAATCATAACACAAGTCAAAATATATTTAAATAATCGAAAATTGGCCTAGACTATGCCTCTGTCGCCTAAACAGACTAATACTTTTTTACTTCTTTCAATATTTTCCGTTACTTAAATTTACACTATCTCCACAATACTACGACCAGATACTGTTCATAGAAGAATATTATTTATTACGGACATGAGTGTATGTGTTAAAATTTGAGTATGTCTGTTGCGTTTCTTTTTATAAACGTCTATGACTTTATTATGCAAATGTGGTTTGCAAGGCATTCCATGGCACCACAGGAAGAGGAACTCACATACCTACATTACGAAGAATGCAAACATAAAATATGCGCTCCCACACACACATGCCTTCAACATACACCCACACACACAAAGAACCGGCAAACAACTCTTGCCACAAATTTGATTCATAATTTAGCATTATCTGTTATTAGTCGACAACGACGACGAATCGTAGTCTTTTTTCTCCTCTTCGTCGTCTTTTTCTTTTTCGTGCTTTTTCAAAGTTATTCAATAACTTTCAATTATAAAATAAAAAGTAATAATTTCTTGGGAAATCGTTTTTAGTGGAAGCGGCAACCTCAGCTCGGCGAGCAAAGGAAATACCGGGATATAGAGTTTAGCTTAGAAGATACCCCCAAGTAATACCACGCTAGCTCTGAAATTCACCCACAAAACATACCTCCACCAGAGAGCATAAATATTTTTGTGTGGCAATGTATGTGCGAGTGTGTCTGTGGCGGACGACATAACGAAGCAGAACTAACAAAGTTTTTCCATTTGCTTAACATTACTTTTTACAACTTTGCACTTTAATGCGTTTCACTTTAACTCAACTCCGTTAAACAAATGAAAGGAAAACGAGAAAACGTCATAAGACAGTGGTGTTTTTCTATTTTAAAGGAAATCTCTTCTGATCTTCAAAGAGAATAACTTTTGGTCTTCTAAAGGAAGGCCTACTGGCCTTCCAAAGGTCAGGTCTACAAGAAGATATTTCAATAGAAAAACGTATGAGTCTTCCAGGTCTTTTATAAAAAGACTTTCTGGCTTGCTACGGAAGATTTTCACGCCTTCTATAAGAAGTACTTCAGGTTTACATACATAAGGCCCTAAGGTCTTCTTATGGAAGCCTCGAATGTTTTCCTATAAAAGAATCGAAGGTCATATCATAGAAGAACATGAAGTCATCTTATTGAAAATCAGAAGTTCTCCTCAAAGAAGGTTCTTCTATTAGTATACTATAACAAAACATTAGGGGGTTCTATAAGGCGACGTTAGAAGCAGACTTTAGGGCCATCTATAAGAAGACTTTAGGGTATACTGGTCTTTTTTGAGAAAACCTTCTGAGAAGACCTTCTGGTTGTCTATGAGAAGACTTTCTAGCCTTCAGTGAGAAGAATTACTAGGTGTTCTATGCGAAGACCTCGGATCTTCTATAAGAAGAATTTCGGGTATTTTATGAGAAGACCTTCAGATAGTTTATGAAAACACCTTCGGGTCTTCTATGAGAAGACCTTCAGGTATACTATGAGTACACCTTCGGGTCTTCTATGAGAAGACCTTCTGCTCGTCTATGAGAAGATCTTCTGCTCGTCTATGAGAAGACCTTCTGCTCGTCTATGAGAATAACTTCTGGTCGTTTATGAGAATAACTTCCAACCTTCAAAGAGAAGACCTACTGGCTTTCTATGAGAAGATCTTCTTTGGTCTTATATGAAAAGACCTTCTAGTTGTATATGAAAATAACTTCTAACCTTCAAATAGAAGACCTACTGGCCTTCTATGAGATGGCCTTATGAGGTCTTTTATGAAAAGACTGAGGTCTTTTAATAAAAGACCTCCTGTGTTCTTCTATGGAAAGACCTTCTCGTCTTTTATGATGGAAGACCTTTTGGTCTTTTATGATGGAAGACCTTTTGGTCTTTTATGAGAAGGCATGCTGGTCTTTTACGAGAATACCTTCGGGCCTTCTACGAGAAGACCAGCTGGTCCTCCATTCAGACACTTCCTGGTTATGTAAGAGATAGCCTTTTGATACTCTATAAGATATTCCTTCGGTCTTTTAAGAGAAAACCTTCTTGTTCTCTAAAACCCTCAGATCTTTTAACATAAGACAATCTGGTCTCCTAAAAGAGGTATACCTTTTTCTGTTAGGGAGGAAGTTCCTTCGGCTCTTTTAGGCAAAGCCTCTGTTATTCTCATACAATCGGGTCTCCGTTTAGAAGAACTCTCCATATTTTATGGGACGAGTTTTCCGTCTTTTATGAAAGGACTATATAAAGAGCTTCCAGTCTTCTATGGAAAGATCCCTTCCTAGACCTTCACGTAGTTCCATGGGAAGAACTTCTTCTAATTAATTTTAAAGGGTTTTGATAAAAAGTTTCGAGGATTCTTGTAGAAAATCTATAGGGATACTATTACCAATTTAAAGGATCAACACCTTTAGAGTTTTTTTTATGGAAAGTTTATAGGGATTTACTTTAGCGGACCTATAGCTCTATTAAAGGTCTATGGAATGTCTATAGAAGTTTCTTAGGGCTTATAAAAGTCCTTTAAAATGACAATAATATATTCGAACTGAATATCAATTCTACCTCCAAAGATTAAAATTCTTTGTCCGGAATATCAATGCGACTCATGTTCTCCATTCCACTGTCCTGCCGCTTTATTTGATTTCTTGTTAACATTGGCGGTGATCCCATCATTATTCTATCGACCAAAAACCTAGCTATCGTTTATCTCGTTGGCCACCACAGCGAGAAGCAACAACCACGAAACTGCTGCTGATGCTGCCACTGCAGCTGGATGCCATGACTTTCGATATTTAGACAGTCAACAATCTTAGTCACTCTGCGGCTTGCGCTCCGTTTTCTATTTGCTTTTGTTCATTTCTTTTGATTTCCTTTATTGGTTTTATTTTGTTTTCTATCTCGCTTTTGCTTCATTTGTGTTTTCATGTTTTTTTTTTGTATTACAGCCTGCCAGAATGGTTGGACTTATGATCAGAAATGGTATCAGGACACCATACCCAGCCAGGAGAATTGGGTTTGTGCGCACGATTTATTTGTGACAAATGTTTTCGTTGTTGGTCGAGTGACAGAAGTTGCGGGTTCATTTCTGCTCGGACAAATGGGTGATATGTAAGTCCATTCTAAATTCATTTAACTTCATTTCATGTCACTAGCATCGTCATCGCCATCATCAGCATCAGTGAAGTTGGCAGCGGCCACATCTCTCAAGCTTTGCAGCATCAGCATTACCATTCCCATCACCACCATCAGCAACATCATTAAGAGCAACTCCGAAATGGAATAACTTTAAATGACTTTACAATTGTCCCACAAGAGTTGAAGTGGTGGCTAACTCGCACAAAAAAAAAAAACTCCATTCCATTTCAATTCAAATCAAATTAACAAGAATACATTTAATTCTATTATTTGCGAATAATTGAAAAGCGTTAGGGTTCCTCTTACCGTCTCTACTTTCCGGTGCGACGCAACTCGACATTGACATTCATTGTTTCGGTTTTGTATTGAGTGTTTGCTTTTCAATGACTTTTTCTTTGTCATTTCTTTAATTGTTTGTTTTGTTTCTCTTCTTTTTATCTTTATTTTAAAGTTTTGGACGCCGTGTGGTCTACTACATCAGTGTGGTGTTTTGTTCAATTGGCCGATTGTCTTCGATTTTGACCACGGCCCATTATACCTGGTTCCTAGTATTTTCCGGCTTAGCAGCTCTGACTATCAACAGTTTGTTTCAATCACCTCAAATTATCGGCATGGAAATATCAAGAGAGTAAGTAAAAAAAAGTAGAATAAAATGTGTGTGATTTAGAAAAATATATTCCGTATTTTTCCCTACTATAAAGAAAATATTGATATGTTTTGAAGTAGGCCCACTCGAAGAAAAATAGAAGAGATTGAGGTCTGTCGCGTATTCTAAATTGAGAAAAAATGTCAAATTGCGATAGGCAAATTATTAACTAAATTTAACTAAGAAATTAACGGAGGACATTTGACTCACGAATGCTGTGCATGACAAACTATAACAATGAGTTTTGGGTTATCTTGAAAATTTGAAAATCTGAGATGAAAAAACTGAAAACACCATCAGACTGCTGACTGCTTTCGCATGGCCGAAAGTGCTGAACTGCCGAATTTGGTTTTCTCCGATGAGAAAACATTCGTTGTACAGAAGTTTACTTGTCGTTTTTACTTGCCAAAGAGGTCAGCTGAAAATATGCACCTACGGGTGACCAACAGAACTCAAGCGCCGGGCATGGTGATGGTGTGGGCCACCATAACAGCCGATGGTCGCTCTCCGCTCGCATTAATCGACCGTGGCATCAAAATAAATGCCGAATATTATCTCGAACATATTCTGTAGGGTGTATTAAAGCCTAGGGCTCGCAAACATTTTGTCCGCAGACCTTGGACATACCAACAGGACTCAGCACCATCGCACTTAGCACGCACCACTCAAGAATGTTTACAAAATGAGGTTTCTCGTTTCATTTCCAGCGCACAAGGGCTACCAAAATCTCCAGATACCAATCCGTTGGACTATTATGTCTGGAGTATTTGTCGATCACCTCAAGCAAGCGCTTCACCGGGATTGGGCCAAAATACCTAAAAGCAACATTCGGGCAGCGTGTAACGGTTTCATTGGCCGTTTGAATGCCATAATTCGTGCCAAAGGTGACCAATTCGAACAAATCTAAACTTATTCTAAAATTTTATGCTATTTCGCACAGTTTTTGCTTTCATTCAATAAAATTAAAAAAAAAAATGTAAAAATTATGGCGCATGGCTTTCTTGCTTTTTTTATCCTACCCTGTATTTATAGGGGTACTACTTTAATTTCAATTATGAATATTTTCCTGTCTTGTAATCCTTCGGTTTATTTTACAATTTGAAGACATTCTGCACCACTCGTTGGAATTATGTATTAAAATCTCCTCAAAAGATCCTTCAAGTTTTAGTAAGAAAAGCCTTTTTTCTTTTCGAAAACCGCCTAGTCTTTTATAAAGATAAAAAGACCCATTGGTCTTCTGTATGAAGGATTGCTGATCTTCTGTTACACACAGAGGATCGTCAAGTCTTCCAGAAAAAATAAAAAGAAATGCATTCTAATCTTCCATAATAAGTCCTTCTACTCTTCCATTACGAGACTTCTTAGTATTCAATTAAAAGACCCATTGATCTGTCATAAGATTATCTAAAATGACTTACCTTTAAGAATCTACAATAATATCTGTTGGTTAGTATGATCCTCAATAAGAGAACCAACAAGCCTCCTACAATATTATCTATTCGTTTTTTATATAAATAACTTCTGATCATCCATAAAAATGCCTTCTGGTTTTATTTAAGAACGCCTGCAGGTCATCCACGAAAAGATATTCTCATGTTATAACAAGTAAGAAAAGGCTATAGTCGTGCGGGGCCGACTATGTTATACCCTACAACACTACAATATGTTAGAAGCCCCCTTATGTCCAAATCCATATTTGAAGATTTGGCTTTTGAAATTAAGATTTTGACTAGGGACATTTGCCCAATATTTATGCACTCCGTCGGGCTGTTAGTTGTTGTAGTCCATTTTACAGATAAATATAATCCAATGGTCATCCAAAATGCAAGAATTCTTCCCTGTCCTTAACTCTCTTCACAGGCGTCTCAATTGGCTTCAATTGTGTGATCGGAAAAACATTTCTATTTAATTTGAACCCTTTAATATTTTGCAATCATCTCCAAAAGCAAGAAGCCCCTCTGTATCTCCAAATTTAGACTCATCTATGTGATTTGCTTGTCAACGATATTTGGCTATATTCGTCAACGAAATCAGCATTAAAAAGCCAGAAATTCGCCTTTTGTGTATTTCGGATATCGCCTGTAAATAATGCTGGTATTTTTTCACACAAAATTAGTGGTCCATTGTACCCGCTGTCCAAATTCTAACTTTATGCGAGATTTCGTGTCCTTTGGTTTCTATTTGTGACCTTTATAACGGCTGCAAAATCAGGAAAATTTTTAGTTGTTGATCGATTTCAACCCCCTAATATATTGCGGACATATTTGAAAACAATAGGCCTAGCCCTTCTGAGCCCTACCCTACCCTTGTAAAAATTTTCGTGAGGATCGGACGATATTTGCAATACTTATATAATATCCCTAACCCGTGTTGTAAGGTGAAGAAATATTACAAAATATTATAAGTCAAATTGAAAAAATCGCATGCGATAAAAAATATGAAAACATAAAAAAATTGTCACAAAATATTACAAAATCTGTATTAACATCTTTATTGACACATTTTTCTGCGATTTTTTTAGATGTTATAGTTTTATGCCAAGCGCATTCTAAATTGACAAAATTTGTCAAAATCGGTCCAACCATTCTTGAGATATAAGCATTCTAACTAACATCCCCTTCCTTTGTATATACACATTGTATATATTTCGCTATATATTTACTATCGGCATCTACGTAACGGTCAGAATTGACCTGTTCGTCTATTTGTGATTTCGTCGGGATTAAATATATTCGCGGTTTAATGGAAAAATTGGCTTTTATTTAACACAAATGTTGTGGCCTATTTCACCTATTTCACTATTTCACCCACAAAATTGGAAGGCTTCTGCCCAGAACTAAGCTCTAGCCCCATGCAAACTTTTGCGTCGATTGGTCTATAATTGCGACCTGTAGAGCAACTGCAAAATCATGATTTTTTTTCAGTTTTTGGTCCATTTCAACCCCTAAATATTGTGCGATCATTTCCAAAAGAAATAGGCTTCTATTCTGACTCTAGCCTCACCTCCATTCTAGATTTCGTGAATATCGGGCCATAATTGCGACCTGTAGAGTGATTACAAATTAACATGGACAGACGGACGGACGGACATACATAGCTAGATCGACTCAGCTCGGCGAGATAGGAAGATCCATATATACCTTCCTATGTGGGAAACCAATATTTCGAGGTGTTACATAATTTTTGGCCCAATCAAACTTATAATACCCCCAACACATAGTGTTGTAGGGTATAAAAAGGTCTTTTATAAAAGTAGAGCTGCAGCCATGCATAACAAGAACATCGTCTTCTCCTTTCCGTGTGTTATAGAAATGGAACCGCCTAGACTTTTATTAAAAGGCGGCCTTCGACAGGTTTCAAATCACATAGCACCCAAAATTCATATTTAATAAAGATAGATTTTGAAGCACATTTAGTGTATATTCAAAACAATATTCGATATTAACAAGTAAAAAAACAGCCAAGTTCGGTCGGCCGAACTTTTAATGCCCTCCACAATTTGGAAAGAACTTGAAAGTTTTCCAAAAATTTAGAAAATATCCGTTTACCCTAAATTATGCTGAATATGAATTTTTAGATTAATCACAATATTAGTCTTCGAAATGGGCCACAGAATTTTCAGTTCTATGTTTGTGGTCCTATAAAACCTTTAGAAAAAACTCCCAACTCTCAATTTTTCATTTAAATTAACAAATTTCTTCTCTCTTTTTTTTGTTTTATTTCAGACAAGATCGAAGTTTAATCGCCATATATCAGAGTTTTGGTTGGTCAATTGGAACAACATTAATGCCATTGCTTTTCTGGTGGTTACGCAAATGGGAACCCTTCATGTGGATAACAACGGTACCAACAGCCTTAGTATTGATTTTCTCCAAGTGAGTAGAACTGTCGAAACATTGGTCGTTGGTTTTGTTTTCTTTTGGTAAACATTCATACATATCTGACAACAACAACAGCAACATGTACATACATTCTCACACATACACTGACATTGGGATGGAGTGGTATTTTTAATTTTTCGGTCAAAAGCAGCACTTCACAATTCTCTCATAGCCCATGATAGCCTAATGTAGGCTTCGTAGCTCTCTGAAACATGTGAACATTTTCTACATGTGCTCGCAAGGATTTGCAATGCAAGGATGGATAACTATGCGAGTGTGGTCTGATCCTTTTGGGGTTTTCGGTTTGGTTGTTTTTCGCATTTTCTTGTTTCCTTTGTTATTCATTACGACAATTTGCAAAAAGAACTATGAAGAAACGAACGAACGCACACACACACACACACACATACACGGTTAACCAGGATGCAGGCTGGCTGGCAGGCACACGCACACACACACACACACGAATGAATCAGCGAAGCGAGTGAAACTCTTTAAGCTGGGGAAAAACGAAACGAAAACAATGCCATTGCCAGGACCACGAAGCATATTGCTGGAGTATTTGGTTGCCGGTATCAGTTTTTTTTTTAGCATTTCTTCTTTCTTGGTCTTCTCTCCGACCAATCGTGCAATCAAATGCAAAAGTATATGGCTGGCTGGCTGGATTGGTTGCCAGCTAGCTATACTTTTCAAAATCCCATACCCCATATCCCTCACTCACTCTCCATTAAATTTCCACCGAAAAGGATTCATTGAAGCAGAAAGCAATTGCACGATGTCTTCTTATGCTCAATTCGACATGTATGACTATGTGTCTGCGTGAGTGTGTGTGTGTGCGAGCGAGTGTGTTCAATTCATTTGAAATCCAATCAAATTCATTCGATTGTTTTCAATTTCTTTCGATAAAACTCAAAAAAAAAAAAGGAGGAGAAGAACAGCATCAAAAAAATACGACAAAAAGAAGAAACCCGGAACCTTTTTACACAATGTTTTGTTTTATGACCAAATATGCACTGATGTAAATATCCAAGAGGATTTTGGGTGGGAGGGAGGTCCAAGGGGCCAACAATACCCAGGGTCTGTTTACTATCTTACCAAACAATTGCTCGCAAGAGGGGGTGGGGGGAACAGAATGTTTTATTCGTAATTTTGTATGCCCTCTGTGCCATGCTGCCTCCACGACGGCTACCGTTGATGGTCGGTCGGTCGTAACTTTGTTTCAATTGAATTTTCTCTGTTTTTCTTTTGCCTCATCACTCATTCATTCAGTCAGCCAGTCATTCACTTACTACCCATCAAATTCCATACACCCCGCCCCCTCCCCCTGCAGCAAATCTAGATTCGTTTCTATTTTCATTTTCTATTTTCTTGTTTCTTTCGGACTCCCCGACCAGATATGTCATTGAATCGCCACGCTGGTTGATTAGCAAGAAACGCTTTGGTGATGCGATTAGGCAATTTAAGAAAATTGCCCGAATCAATGGACGTCAATTTGACATGAGCGAAAAAGAGTTGATCACCATCTATACGAGCACAAAACAAGAAGTTACCTACGGCATAGCGTCATTGTTCTCGGGTTGGCGTCTGGCCAAGAACACTTGCATCATGGGCTTCAGCTGGTAAGTATGGATTGACTTGATGGCATTTTCATGGAATTTAAAAGGATTGGATGGCTTTAATGTGCAGTAGAACTAAGAAAGGGAAAGTTGCAGATGAATGTGGCAAAGAATTTTGGATTAAATTTATTTATCACAATTTTTATTAAAAAATTAATATTTAAGTAATATTTTAATATTTAAAATTCGATACATCATTTCATTCTCTCGCATGCATGGTTTCAAGTATATTTAAGTATTTCATTAGCTCAATATACTGTCTTATTGATTCATATACCTTCAAAAAAAAGCAGTGACTTCGACACATATCAACATGAAAATGTTACAGAAATTAAATAACCATTGAGAAATGAGACAGTGTTTGCGGAAACTGAGACCAAAAGGGTAGAAACAAGTAAGAATGTTGTAAGTTTGGCCGGACCGAACTTTGAATACACTCCACTATTTGGAAAGAATTTGGCAATTTTCAAAAAAAAAAAAAAAAAAAAAAATAAATAAATAAAATCCGTTAAAAATTCGGTTTAAATCTTAAAAATACGAAATGTGGCCGTCATATAAGGGTCTAAACGACGACGTGGACCTGCATAGGCAACTTTTGTCATACAGAGTGAGATAAGAAAACTGCAAGAAAGAATGAAAGCAAACAATTTCGGAAATAGCATAAAATTTTAGAATAAGTTTAGATTTCTTCGAAGTGGTCACCTTTGTCACGAATTATGGCCTTCAAACGGCCAATGAAACAGTCACACTCTGCTCTGCGGTATTTTGGCTCATTTCCGGCGAATCGCTTGCCTGAGGTGATCGACACTTTGGTATTTTTTAGTGCCATCATTGCTTTCCAAAATACTCAAGACACAATAGTCCAACGGATTGGTATTCGGAGATTTGATGGCGCTGAAATAAAGCGAGGAACCTCATTTTCTAACCATTCTTGGTTGGCGCGTGCTGAGTGCGATGATGCTGAGTCCTGTCGAAATGTCCAAGGTCTGTGGCCAAATATTTGCGTGTCCAGAATATTTTCGCGATAATATTTGGCATTCGACATTCTGATGCCACGGTCGATTAATACGAGCGGAGAGCGACCAAGGACTCTTATGGCGGCCCACACCATCACCATGGCCGGTTCTGTTCTGGTGGCCAGCACATTTTCAGCTGACCTCTTTGGCAAGTAAACACGATAAGTTTGTTTTTTTTTTCTCATCGGAGAAAACCAAATTCATCAGTTCACCACTTTCGGCCAAGCAAAGCAACTCTCTATCACATTTGGGTCTATTTTTTTTCTGTTGCGGTGTAAGCTCTTGGACTTTTTTTGAATATCAATGACTTTACCCCGAGCTCATTTTTCAATCTTTGCCGAATGGAATATTGAGATATGTTCAGCTCACGAGCCATTTTTCGGCCATTGCGACGCGGTTTTCGATCAAGTCGCTTCTTTACATTTTGCATATTTCTGCTGATGTTGATGTTTTCTTCCGTCCACTTCCTTGACGTCGGGCTACACTGGAAAGCTCTAACGATAGCCACTTGTTGTTTTCCAGCCAAATATAAAGAAATCCCACTATCACTCTTGAATTCCATCACGAATAACCTTTTTCTGGAAAAATCGCACCAAAATGCTTTTGTACGCTTGTAAACAACATAATGAGCTGTCACTGGAATAATTTTAACAGCTGTCGGACGAGTGGCTTAGAAATGACAGCACTCTGAAGTTGGTTGCAGTTTTTTCATCTCTCCCGTTACAAAGACGTAGACCTGCATACGCAATGTTACTCATAGGTTGTAGTACCCATTGGGAATTTTAAATACGAAATTTGAAACAATTCCGTTGAATAATGTCCCTAAAATTCTTAAAAAATTGAATATCGGGGGTGCAGTTGTATGTGGGCTATATGATATCGTGGACCTATATAGACATTTCTCTTCCAGGGGGTAAAGAGCTTAGAAAGAACTTCTTTTTACACAATTCCATTGAAAAATGTAGCTAAAATCATAAAAAAATACAGAATATAGGATGGTACCGTTATATGGGTGATATACGATATCGTGGACCTGCATAAACAATGCTCTTCCAGGGGAAAAGTACTCAAAAGAAACCCCTTTTTTGGATTTTCAGAGGTTTTCATTGAGAATGTTGCTGCAATCGTTAAAATACCGAATATCGGGGGGTAACGTTATATGGGGGTTACACGTCTATGGGGCTGTACGAAGACCTGGACCTGCAGGACCGATATAGACCATTTTCGAACTTGACCCGCTTGCAGACAAAATATTGATCTGTGCAAAATTTTAGCTTAGAGTGATTACGGCCGACGGACGGGCTGACATGGCTAAATCGTCTGAGAATTTTACTCTGATCAAGAATATATATTCTTTATTATGTCTAAGATTATTATTTTGAGGGAGGGTATAAAAATACGATATTTTGTACCCTTAGAAGAGAAAAAAATGTCACACCATGGCCAAAGAACCTTAAAATTTAGACAGTTCAATTAGATTAAAGGTGGAATATTCCAAAACAGTCATCAACACATTAAGTTTTTATTTAGGGCCTAGAAAAAATTGCCTTTTCGATTAGCAACTATTTCCATTATTTTTTTTTACCCAAAAAAAAAAAAAAAAAAATACTAATAGGTCGATTACTAAATCAAGTTAAATTTAAGCTCACAGTGTGACATAAATTTCTGAAACTGTTTTGAAATCTCATTTTATACATCGCGAATAGCAATAGCACAACCTCAATAACGACCAAAAGGGGGAAAGGCTATAAAAATATTTACCTTTTAGATGATCCAATCACCGCATTGGATGCTTAAATACCATTTAATAAATTTCAACCTATATCCCAATGATATAAATCCATATGCGCTTTCAGGTGTGTGGTAGCTGTGTCATATTTCACCCTGGTACTCTTCAGCTCGAGAATGAATGGTAATCCCTTCTTGAATTTCCTTATGCAAAGTATTGTGGAAATTCCCGCCTACATTTTGGGCAAATATTTGGGTAAGTTGTTTTACAAGATAATAACAAAAACAAATAGCTTAACAAGATTTGCATCTTTCAGGCGATAAATTTGGGCGACGCTTTACCAACAGCTCCTCGTTCTTTGTTTCATTTTTGGCTTGCATACCACTGATATTGTTGGCCACAGGTTTGTTAGAATTTATATTCCATTCTTAGCAGACATTTTAATCTCTTCACATTTTTTTTTCTGTTTTTCCTTGGCTGTTTTTTTTTTTTTTTTTTTTTTTGCAGATGAAAAATACGAATTTGTAATTATGGGTTTGGCAGCATTTATCAAATTCTTAAACGCGGTTACCTTCTTCACCGCCAGCTTGCAGGGCATGGAAATTTATCCCACATGTATGCGTCAAACGGGCATTGCCCTTGGCACCATCCTGGCGAACGCTGTTGGCGTTGTTGCACCATATCTGGTGTACTTGGGCACCACAGTTGACATTCGCAGTCCGTACTATATTTTGGGTGCGCTGTTCCTGATTGGCGCCATTGCAGCCTTGTTTTTGCCCGAAACGTTGCATAAAAAGCTACCCGACACTATGGAGGAGGCCCGTAATTTTGGCATACATGATGTAAGTGTTTGGTGTGGTAGACACAAAAACAAGTTGTTTGTTTTTTATTGGAGTTTTGGCAGGCTTAATGCTTGGCAATCGCAGATTTGCAACAAATTTTTTTAAATGAAATCCATTAAAAATCTAAACACTTCTTGCAACAACAAACAAATAAATGTTGCTGTCGCTTAGCATAAATGTTTAGTGTGCATCCATTTATTTTCAAATTACTCTAAATGCTGTTTTTTTCTACTTTTCAGAAATTCTTCAGCCTGCCCAAGGCCCCACCCGCCACTGCAGATGCGACAACGGAAAAACTAAATCAAACCAAATTTGCCCCCTGAAAAGTGTCGGAACGCCCACTTAGACGACACTTTGTGATTTTTGTTACTAGCCTAATTAGACAGCAGTCAGTATTTGTATTTTTGCTATGTTTGCTGGCGCCCAAAGGATTGATATTCGTTTCCTGTCGACGCCACTTCTTCGTTTGTCCATTGCATCTGTGACAATGTGATCGATGTACTTTAAGATGTTCCCCCTACTTTATTTAAGTGCAATTACTAGTTGATTTTTTTTTTGTTGTTTTATTGTTTTTAGGATTTTGTGAATCTTTGTAAATAATAATGCTTTCGTATGTAAGAGTGTATGCTTTGTATATAGGCAAATAAATTGTATATTTATATCAATAAGTACGAGTCGTTATTGTTTTCCTGCCTTCTAAAATGAGTCAAATATAGTCAATGCCTGGATGTTCTCTCAAGAATATGTTCAATCTTTCAATTCCAGGGCAAATCTGCAATTCCCGCAATTTAAGTTTTTTCTAATCATTGATTTTGAAAATATTTTGGTTTTATTTTTCAAAACAACAAATACATACACAACAAGTTAAAAAGCAATAAGTTCGGCCGGGCCGAACTTTGAATACCTTCCACCATTTGCAACGAACTTGAAAAAAAAAATCCTTACAAAATTCTGTTAAAATTTTGAAAATACCAAATATAGCCGTTATATTGGTGTCTATACGACGTGGACCCACACAGTCATTGTTTGTCATAAGTCATTTTCAAATTAAAATTAGGAACTTGAAATAAACGGTGAATAATGTAGCTAAAATCATCAAAATCATATCATAATCAAATTATATCGGAGCTGTGCGAAGACCGGGACCAGCATAGACAATTTTCTGTCATAGGCTGTAGCACCCATTACGAACTTCACCTAAACTCGTCAAAATACCGAATATAGGGAGGTATGGGAAAAGGTAGCCTATACGAAGACTTGGACCTGCATAAACATTTTCTGTCACAGACTGTAGTTTCCATTACGAACTCTAAATGCCTAATTTGAAAAAATCCGGTGAATAATGACGCTAAAATCATCAAAATACCGAATATCGGGAGGAACCGTTATATGGGGGCTATACGAAGACATGGACCTGTATAGACAATTTTCTGTCTTACACTGTAGTATCTATTTCGAACTTCAAATGCCAAATATGAAACAATTCCGGTGAATAATGTCGCTAAAATCACCAAAATACCGAATATGGGGAGGTACCGTTATATGGGGGCTATACGATGACATGGACCTGTACAGAAAATTTTCTGCCTCAGGCTGTAGTATCCATTTCGAACTTCAAACACCAATTTTGAAACAATTCTGGTGAATAATGTCGCTAAAATCATCAAAATACCGAATATAGGGAGGTACCATTTTATGGGGGCTATACGAAGACGTGGACTTGCACAGACAATTTTCTGGCATAGGCTGTAGTATCCATTTCGAACTTCAAATGCCAAATATGAAACAATTCCGGTCAATAATGTCGCTAAAATCATCAAAATACTGAGTATCGAGTGGTACCGTTATATGGGGGATATATGAAAACGTCGACCTACATGGCCCATTTACGAACTTAACCTGCCTACTGGAAAAATAAACATGGGTGCAAAATTTTAGCCTTCTATCTCAATTCATTCGAAAGAAAGACAGACACACAGACCGACAGACGGAATATATATACTTTGTTGGGTCTAAGATCATTATTTCGATGATTTACAAACGGAATGACAAAATTAATATACCCTCTATAGTATGGTGGAGGGTATAAAAACAATGTAATCAGCTAGGAGCTCTACCTAACTTTTTAATTGTACCATGAAATTTGCTCAATTTTACCCTACAACACTATGTATCGTAGGTATAATATGTTTGGCTAGGCCAAAAATTATGTAACACCTCGAAATATTGGTTTCCCACATAGGAAAGTATGCATGGATCTTCCTATCTCGCCGAGCTCAGTCGATCTAGCTATGTATGTCCATCCGTCCGTCTGTCCACGTTAATTTGTAATCAAGCTATAAGTCGCAATTATGGCCCGATTCTCACGAAATTTAAAATGGAGGTGGGGTTAGGGTCAGAATAGAACTCTATTGTTTTTGGAGATGATCGCACTATTTCGGATATTATTAGGAATTGAAATGGACCAAAAACAGAAAATTTTCCTTATATTACAGTTGCTCTATAGCCCAAAATTATAAATCAATCGACGCGGAAATTTGCATGGAGTTAGAGTTCAGATCTGGGCTATAGCTTACAAATTTGATTGTAATCTGACAATATTTAGCGGGAAAAATAAGCCATAACTTTTATATCAGAAAATACAAACATTTCCACTAAACCGCGAATAGTTTTAATCCCGTCCACATCACAAATACATTAAAAGGTCACTTCTGACCATTACAGTGATGCTAATAGGCAAGATATCGACTATGTAGCAAAATAGGTACAATATATATGTAAAAAAATAGATCTATGTTATTTTCCTTATAAGACAAGAACTGCTGGACAGATTTTCACAATTTTTTCTCAATTCGGAATTTCTTGGCAGAAAAGGTAATATTTGAGAAAATCGCGTAAAAATATGACAATAAAAAAGTGAATATTTTGTGATACATTTTTTTTCAACTTTTGTCATATTTTTTATCGCATGCGATTTTTTTTTCATTTAACTTCCACTTATGAATTGTACATTTTCTAAATATTTTCTACACCCTGCAACACTATGAGGGTTGAGGGCATTATATACAGATCGCAATTATCGTGCGATGCTCACGAAATTTTACATGGGGTTAGGGTTAGGGTCAGAATTAAAGCCTATTGTATTTCAAGATGTACATTTAGGGGTTCAAATAGACAAAAAAATTTAAATTTTCCTGATTTTGCAGTCGCTCTACAAGTCACAATTAAAAAGCAATCGACATGGAATTTTGAATGAGAAGAGTAGGGCTCTATTTAAACCAGAAGATCTGAACAGATCTTCACCAAATTTGACATACTAGCTTCTAGACTCAATTCGGTCGCATGTGCCAAATTCCATCCCATTTGTGCTATTCTTACAAATTTGATACACAATTAAAAGCATATCGGACGAAATTATATGTGGGAGCTATATCCAAATCTGACCCGATCTCGATAAAAATTAGCAAATGTATTTTATGAGCTGTATTTGATATATTTCCCCAAATATTGTTGTTACAGAGTGCATATTACGGCTGCGGAGGACAAAAATTACAAATCGGATGAACAATATATATGGGAGCTATAGCTATATCTGAACCGATTTCGATCAAATTTGGCATACTTATTTTCGGGTCCAATCTCATTGTACTTGCAAAATTCTATACTATTCGGACTGATATTACACGTTTGGTGCCCAATAAAAGGCAAATCGGACGAAAATATATATGGGAGCTATATCTAAATTTGGACCGATTATCTCCAATTTCAATGGGGTTCGTCCTTGGACCAAACAAATGATTTGTGCAAAATTTCATCTGGATCAGGCAATAAATTCGAGCTGTACTTTGTTTAAAAAAATACATAGACAGACTGGAATGCATAAATCGACTTAGAATGTGATTCTATGCAGATCATCAAAAGAAACGACGGGTCTATCTCGTTTCCTTATGCCCAGGCATAATACCCTGACCACCTTGTGGTGTAGGGTATAAAATGAAATCTTCAAATCCATCTTCTCGGTCGACTAAAGACTTTTCTTACTTGTTTTTTTTTTTTTTTTTTGTAATTTAGCAGTTTTTTTCAAATGATGGAGGGTATAAAAGTTTCGACCATAGGCCGGATTTTTAACAAGCCTGTATACTACTATAACGTTCATTTTTACCGCAGTTGACACCGAAGTCTTATTTAGAGTGGTAATAATTAAAAGTAATTGGGTTGGATTCGGAGTCTAACATTAGATGATGCCGTCTCTGATCATAAACCATAAAAAAATGTATCAAATACTTAGTCAAATTTTTAAACCCTCCGCTGTGATTTTCAAGGCCTTCCTTATCAAAAATCTTCCTTTCAGAAGAATATCTTTTAAGTAATAATTACATTGGATTAAAAACAAGTAAAAAATCTGTAAGTTCGGTCGGACCAAACTTTGAATATCCTCCACCATTTGGAACAAATTTGGCAATTTTCAAAAAAATAAAATCCGTTAAAAATTCTGTTTAAATTTTAAAAAACACCGAATGTAGCCATTATATTATGGTCTATACGACGACGTGGACCTGCATAGGCAACTTTTGTCATAAGTCATTACAATACTCAAATGCGAATCTTTGAAAAAAAATCGGTGAATAATGTAGCTAAAATCATTAAAATACCGAATGTAGGGAGGTACCATTACATGGGGGATATACCAAACCGTGGACCTGCACAGACAATTTTCTGTCATTGGCTGTAATATAAATTATGAACTTAAAATAATAAATTTGAAACAATTCCGGTAAATAATGTCGCAAAAATCATGAAAATCTCGAATATAGGGAGGTACTGTTATATGGGGGACAATTTTCCGTCTTAGGCTGTAGTATCCATTAGGGACTTCAAATACCAAATTTGAAACAATTCCGGTGAACAAATCATCATCAAAAATACGTAATATCGGGAGGTGCCATTATATGAGGACTATACGAAGACGTGGACCTGCATACGAAATTTTTTTGACATTGGTTGTAGTACCCATTACGATCTTCCAATACCGAATTTGAAACAATTCCGGTGAATGCTAAAATCATCGAATATTTGGAGGTACCGTTACATGGCGGCTATACGAAGACGTGAAACTACATGGCCCACTTTCAATACCAAATTTTCTGCAGACGTAATATACATTTCGGTAAAATTTTACCAATCTACTTTATTCGTTCGGAAGCTAGAGTGATTTCCACAGACGGGCATACGGATAAACGGATTTTATGCTGATCAAGAATATGTATACTTTGTGGGGTCTAAAATGTATATTTCGAGGTGTTACAAACGAAATGACAAACTTAATATACCCCCCATGCTATGGTGAAAACTATAATAATCGAGAATGTTTATTGGATTTTTCATGGAATTCATATACTTTGTAAGCAAAATTTCAAGGACTTTGTGAGACTACAGGGCTAAACGGCGAGACTCATAAAATTCAAGAGATTTCTTGCCAAAAATTAGAGCATTTTTATTAAAATGTTGCAAATAATACAAACCAAGCCTTTTGGCAGATGTTCCCATAATAATGGTCATAGTCTGTCAGCAAACCGACTGATACTCTCTAACTTATAACATGCTTTGAGCGAGCAAGAATAAAAACAAGTAAAAAACATTAAGTTCGGACGGGCCAAACCCTTCACCT